GCATTAGTTTACGGATATCATTATTTTATGCAAAACTGATAAATATTCTTATTACTTTTCTTTTCACATTTCACCATGAACAGTTCTACTTTATAAAAAAAATAAACAATAAAAAAGCAAAAAATAAAAAATCAGAACGGTTTTAAATTATTAGCATATATGTTCAAAATCTATTAAAATTAATCTCATATTGATTAAAGAAATATAAGTAAAAGCTAATTTAAAATTTAAAATGTCTTTGGAGGTTGGCGCATTACAGAAGTAGTTTCTCCTATTTATTTATTTGCAAATAATTATAAATTATACAAATAAGAAGAGAATTGATATTGAGCTTAATCACCGTCGATGGCGGCCTTTAAATGCGCATGATAATAATAATGATAATAATAATAATAATAACTCCAATGAAATTCCAGAATGGATCACTGAATTTATTACATATCTCCTACCAAAAACGGATGAAACACACGATCCCAAAATTATAGGCCAATAACATGCATGTCTACCACATATACATTGATCACGGACTGTATTTATTCTTTTCCCGATGAAAACAACATTCTTCGCCTGAAACAGAAGGGATGTCGAACAAGTTCATATTGTTGCAAAGATTAATTATTAATAAATAAAATGGAAAATTGCAGGAAAAAAAAGGTAGAAATCTCAGCACAGCTTCGGTAGATTACTGTAAAGACTTTGATAGTGTCCCACACTCTTGGATCCGTACGGTTTGGAAATGTACAAATTTACTCGGTGATAGTAAATTTCATTAAATATATGAAACTGTGGAAAACCATATTATATTAAAATCACACCAAAAGTATTGGCATTTCCAATTATTTGAAGATCCAACTAGGAATCTTTCAAGGAGATTCCATGTCGCTCCTTCTCGTCTGTGTGTCCTTAATCCTCCTTTCGCATGAACTAAACAATAATAACTATAGATACAAAGTAAAAAAGAAATTGTTTAATCCCCTATTATCAAACTCTTTGCTAAAGACGACAATGAGTTGAAGAGTATCCTCCATACTTTAAAATGTTTCAATGATGACATCGGTATGGATTTTTTTATTAGATAAATGTGCAAAAGTAATATTCACGTAAAGGAGAATTACAGAAACACACTCAATAGATCAAGATTTTGTCACAAAGATCAGGGAACTGGAACAAGATGAAGATAATAAATACCTAGGATACAGCGAAGGAGATGAAATACAGTATATCCAAAGGAAGGTTAAAGCAAGAATAGAATGCAACAGGCGTGTGCATCTGGTGTTAAATACCGATTTGAATTCACAAAAAAGAATATCAGCCATACACAGTTTGGCTACTCATGTGGTGCAATAAAGTTTCAGCATCCTTAATTAGAGCATCATTGATATTAAGCGAATGGATGTCAAAACGAGAAAGATTGCCATTTGCCACTACATGCATCATCCTAAGGCTGATGTTGATCGCCTGTATGTGCCCAGATCCGAAGGAGGCAGAAGATTATTTAAACTAAAACTGTTTTACAAAACCACAACAATCGGTCTTCAAAGATAACTGGAAACTACAAAAGACTGTGTGATGATCTGTGTCAAAGTACATGAAAGAAATAAGAAACTTTTTTCAGTAAAAAGGGAGGCAACAAAATCAAAAGGGGATTACAAGTGAGGGAAGACGTGCAAAGAAACCATAATACATCTGCTGCAACGGCAAAGAACCTAAAAACAAACAAACAAACAAAAAAACAAATGCAATGTACCAAATGCGGAAACGATGGCAAAATAAGCTGTTTCGTAGTCAATACTCTGCCCATAGCAAACAAAGTGATATAGACAAATCCCGTACCCATCAGTAGTTACGTAGTGCGGGACTAAAAGCTAAAACCAAAGGTTTTTTTTTTCTTGTTGCCCATGATCAATGCTTGCAATCTAGAAATTACGAATCACGCATACTGAAAAAATGTGTTGGTTTCAAATGCAGATTCTGTGATCAATTGATCATCTTGTTTCACAGCGTTAGCACCAACTGAATATAAAACTCGGCATGATAGAGTTGGGTCAATATTTGCACTGGAAAATATGCCACTTTTACGGAAACGAACCTACAAGAAATTGGTATGAACATCACCCTGACCCGGTTACGGAAATAGGACCTGTAACAGTTTTATGGGAGGTTATAATACACAGACGGGCACCTCGGCGTGGCGTAATGGTTAGCAAGCTTGTCTCGCTAGAACAATTACGACTGAGTAGTGAGTTCGATCCTCACTTGGTGCCCCATGTCTTCGGCCTTGAGCCACATCTAAGCTACGCTTAGAAAATCAATATTACTGACCTTGTGTCATAACCTGACTCAGTGGGGGAGTAGTAAGTAAATCTCTACAATACACACAGACAAATACAATCAAAGCTAATCGCCCAAACATCGTGACCAAGGACCGCAAAAACAGAATTTGCTTTTTTTCTTATTGACGTGACAGTTTCTGCAGATTGTAATGTATCTTTGAAGATATTCAAAATACTATCAAAATCTTGAAATGGAAATTTAAAACATGTGTCACACGAGGACATCAATAATTCCAGTTGTAGTTGGAGGCCTCGGAATGATTGGAAAAAATTCCGACAGACTCACTGAAGGAATTCCTGGTATACCATGATTTAAAGAAATACAAAAAATTGTACTCTCAATTACAGCTCACACATGTAAAATGTGTGTGATTTTATTTGTTTTTAACAAAAAATGATCAGTGGAAGATTTCATGAAGTCATTTCTGACTTTAGGTCTCTGTTTGGGATCCGGAAGGAAATGTGTACATAACAGAAACCCAAATAATAATAATAATAATAATAATAATAATAATAATAATAATAATGAGAAGAAGAAGAAGAAGAAGAAGAAGAAGAAGAAGTATTACAGTAGAGTACGTTTAATACTAGAAAGCGAACTTAATGGGGCCTATAGAATGAAGGCTATCAACACCTTAGCTATAGCCGTAGTAACATACAACTTCAACATTATTAAATGGAAGTTGAATGACATTAAAAGATTGAACGTCTAGAAAAATGCTTACTCAAGTGAGGATGCATCACCTAAAATCTGATGTTGATCGGCTACCAAGAGCTTTAGAAGGCTGAGGTCTAATCCAAACTCTAAAAAATACAACAGTCGGATTGAAAACATTCCTCCCAAAAACCCATGACCCTCTCCTACAAATAATAAAACACCAAATCCACTCCATAAAAAAAGCTGCATTTTTCCAAGAAACAGCTTAATGTATCTGAAATCCTAAAAAATAAGAAAAAAAAAAAGAAAAAATGAGAGACGAATACCATCTACGCCAAACGAGTAAAAGAGAAAGCAAAACAGTTTGGCCAAACGAAATTAAAAAAAAAAACAAACAAAAAAACTGGGAGGACAAGTCGTTGTATGGCAAGTACCTAAAAAGAACGAAAAAAGCAGATGTGGACCAACAGAAAACGCATCAGTGGCTGGAGAGAACCAGGTTGAAAGCTGAGACAGAAGGTCTAATTCTTGCAGCTCAGGACCAAAACCTTGCAACCAGGTCTTAGCACTGTCACATAATTAAAGATGGAACTAACCCGAAATACAGGATCTGCGGAAAATATGATGAAATTGTCGATCATATTGTCTCAGGATGTCCGGAAGTAGCAAAAAATGAATATACCCATACACATAACAAGGTTGGGACATATGTACATTGGAAGATGTGCAAGAAGCACAAAATCGAAACCACTGAGATGGTATGAGCACCAACCAGACACAGTTACCCAAAATAACGATGTAACTATCATCTTGGGCATGCCAATTCAAAATGACATGGAAATAACAGTCAACAGACCTGATATTATCATAAAAGACAAAAAATTCAGGAAGTGTATGCTTATTGACATAAAAATACCATCCAAGAGAAACACCTCCATCTAAAATATCGAGAAATTGTCCAGATACAAGGACCTGGAGATTGAGATTAACAGGATGTGGGGAATGAAGACTGAGACTGTACCAATAGTAATCGGAGCACTGGGCCACGTGAGAAAAGAAATGGACAATTTTACTAACAGTGTCTTAGGTAACATCAACATAAAAGTTGCCCAGAAGATCGCCCTACTAGGAACATTCCATATACTAGGAAAAGTGCTATCAATTAAATGACAATTCTCCTATAGATTTTAAGGGTCATAGTTTGGATCCGGCTCTACAGGATACAAAGCAGGAAGCATAACATACGCAAATAATAATAATAATAATAATCATAATTATAATAATAATAAGCATTATCTATGTAATATATGTGCGATTTTTTTCAAAACTGCTCAGTGGAAAATGTCATGATGCCATTTCTGACCTTCAGAAAAAATGAGTATACACCAGAAACCAAAGAAAATAAAAGAATAATAATAATAATACACTGATGTTACAACAGGAATGGTTCTCATGGCTTCTGATCTTAACTGGTTAGGGGTGTTAACATGTACATGTTTTGTTTTGGTGAATTAAGATATCCTGTTCAGTACCACTGTTTTGCTTGGCAGTTGCCTGACCTTAACTAATGCACCATGGGGACTGGCGTGCACTGTACATCTCTATTTGTGAACGGGATTAGTGGGGGGATGTTGTGAGAGTTGTTTTTTTTTTAAGTTTGAAGGACTAGGCTGCCAAAAAGGAACATCCTCAATTGGAGATGGCTGAGTGTTTTCATGAAAGCAGAGCATAATATTGTAAGGATCAGTTAGAAACATCTTCAATCTAGTAAATTTTGAAGGTGTTTCTAACTGACGCTCACTTGCAATATTATGCACCGCTTTTATGAAACTCGATCACCATAATACGCACATCTGGCTGTGATGCACATTCCTTGTATACCCTTATTAAACTGGGTTATTATTATTATTATTATTATTATTATTATTATAGTTATGGTGGGTTTTATATACATTTGTATTGCAGCGTCATTTTGTTGGCATGCACATACTCTCCCTCTCTGTTTGACTTACGACTATATCACATTGAAACACCGATTCCCGTACGATCATCGAAGTTGAGCAATATCGTGTCTGGTTAGTACCTAGATAGGTGACTGCTTGGGAATATCAGATTCGGTAAGCTTGGATATACGGGTGGTGTAATAGATAATTGTTAATCGGAGAGCCGAGTTCTGATTCCTGTTGGGTTCGTTATATTCCCTTGTGCTCAAATATAGTTGGAAAAGGTATGAATCCACCTCTTCTCCCCAGTTATGGGTTAATTAGTACGACTTGTATCACTAAATCATTATTATCTAAAAACAAATTTGACAGTCTAAAAAATTATTTTATAGCTTTAAATCACCTGTAAAGGGTTGGTAAGCCGTAGAAAAAGAATCAATCAATCTGTCTCTCTCTCTCTCACTAATAACAACATCAATAATAGATTATTTGATTTAAGTCTGTTTTTATAATTATGGCATTTACTGAAGTTTGAATGAGGACGGTTGTGCATCCAATTTAGTGTGCAACTTACCAGAATGTCCAATTTGATAGCGGTTTCATCTGCACAAGAGATTGAAACAGTATTCTGAATTGTGAGATCATATCCTGTAATCAGATTTCTTTTGAATAGTTTGTTTTCATAACTTATGTGTGTACGGATGCGCATGTCTTGTAAACAATCACATTATACAGAGATAATTTGCGTTTTTCAACTGTGATATTGCTTGACTGAATAGGAAGAATAGAAAAAAAGTGCATAAGAGATACTTGGTTTTAAAGTAAAATATAAAACGTGAAAAAAATAGGGAAAGGAAAAAATACAATGCATTTAATGATGTTTTTAAGAACTTTTTGTCCGCAGCAAGCCGCCATTGCATTTTTTTTCGGAATAAAAATACAACTTATTTTTCATGAATAAAAACATAATAACAACACGTCAAATGATATCAAGGTTATGTCAACATAGGAAACATAAGTGAAAAAAATGAAAGAAAGAAAATTGAGAAGCAGCAGAGAAAAACAAGAAAATGAAGGAAAAAATGCGACAAAGATGGCAGCTTTGTTATTCTCCCACTCATCTCCTACTTACCATTGTGATAATTTTTGTTTTTATTATTAATACAAATTAACTTCTTCTTCTTCTTCTTCTTCTTCTTCTTCTTCTTCTTCTTCTTGCTGTTATTACTAATATAATTTACCATTATCTTTTTGGGCTTTTTTGTTCTTGTTGCTATTATCTTATTGTGTTCGTGATGTTAGTTGCAATGTAGTTGGTGAAGACGAATTAGCAAGAATAATAAAAAAAAAGGTTGAGCACCGTGGGTAAGTGATGATAGTGGTAGCATTGATAAAAGTATTTAGAGTAGTCGTAGAAATTTTAATCTTCATTTTTTTTTGCGCATTTCCAGCTGTGAACGGATCAGTCATCGTCTCCCGCCTTTCTTTCCGCATCCATGGTATTCCCATCTTTCAACAACGTTTCACCCTCCCTTCTTACCTTTCAACGTCAATTGCGATGTCCCGATCCACCGACCTGATCAAGTCACTTTTTCACTCTCAATACATTTTAGTTCCTCACCACCTCTACCTCCGCCATCTTCTTTCGTATCTCTTCTTGCTCTTTTTCAAGTGTGCCCCACCCTGCAACGACCACCCGCCGGCAATTCCTGCATTCTCCATCACCTGACAACATTATCTCACCAGTAGCAAAACGGAATAACCGGTGTCGTTAGCTTTTTAACACTAGATTAAACTGACTTTCTTTCTTTCTTTCTTTCTTTCTTTTAATTTGCCTTTTCGTTTTAATTACATGTTCTATTCTTACTTGTTCATTTTTTTTCTTTTTTCTTTCACTCATTCTTTGTAAATTTGTTTTCTTTCATTTCCACCTACACATGTTTTACTTGTTCTTTATTTCCGTCTTGTACTTTTTCTTTCTTTCTTAATATCTGTCCTTTTTACATTTGTTCCTTTTGCCTTCTATTTTCTTCGCGTTGTATGTAAGTGATAAAGTGATAAAGAAAACTAATAGAAGAAAGAAAAAAGAAAAAAGAGAAAAAAAAAAGGCGGAGGGAAGAAAAAAGAAAGGAAGGGGAAAGCGAAAGAAAAAGAAGGAAAAAGAAAGTGTATAAAAAGTTCGAGAGTTTTAAAGAGAAAGGAAGAAGCAAAGAAAGAAAATTAGAAAGAAAGAAAGAAAGAAAGAAAAATAAACAATAAGAAGAAATTTGTGAGTTGTCGCTTTAATTTGCTTAGCCATTGCAGATTAAAAGTAATTTTCATTCGCCATCATATTTGACCCCACTACTTTTCTGTTACTACCACGTCCTTTCTTCTTTCTTATTTTATGTGCCATATCCCTTCAAGACGTAGGAGATCGTGGCTCTCCATTTCCTCCTATTCCTTGTAGCTCTCAATAAAGTTTTGTCCCTTGGTCACCTCTCCCATCCACTTGCTCAAGTCCGCTAGGTATGTCACGCGTTGCTTTCTGTGGCACCTTGCATTATTAGAAATATTCATAGAAATATGATTTAATTTTTTCTTACTCGGTTTACTAAACAGGTTGTTGATTTTTTTTAAAACGGAAAATAATTGAGTTGAAAATAATTCACTAAGATTGTACTTGGACGATCCTAAGGGAAGAAGAAGGAAGGGGAAAGAGAGAGGTCGAGAAATAAAAAAAAAGCGGTCATTAACAAAAACACGAGTCAGAAAGATATCTTAGCTAGCATGTTGACCGAATTTTTTAAAGACAATTGGAAGAATAGAATTAGAAATAATAAAAAGAAAGAAAGGGAAAAGACATGATATCAAAACGGGCCGCTTGATGAAAACCAGATATCGGTCAAAGCATCTAGCCTACTTTTGCGTAGAAAGACACCTTATCAATTTGGATAAAGGAAATTTTGGGAACAATGAAAACGAAATCTTAATCAGAAAAAAAGTGCTTTTGGGTTGAGGGGGTGACCGGTGGAACGGTATACAGATTCTGACCTGTTAAAAATTAGAACCCCCACATTGACGAGTGAAAGATGTTTTCAATTCAGATAAATTAAGATTTTCTGACTGCCGGGTCTGACAAAAAACAAGAGGTGGAAAAAACGATTGTCTCAGATCACAGATGGCGACAATATTCTTTCCTGAAGTCACAACTAATTAGCGGCGGGCTGGTTGACAGAGCCCAGGTGAGAGAAAGCCAAGATTGTCATTTTTCGTACGTGCAGAAAAGGCAAAATTGGATTTTGTTTTTTTTTAAAAACAAGAACGATGTAACCACGCCCGAAAGGAGGAGAAAGGATGCTCGATCAATAACAATTGGTCGGAAACGGTCACGTGATCTGCAGAAAAGAAGAGAAAGAAATGCCCGATCAGGAACCATTGGTCGAAAAACGGTCACCTGACATACGAGAGACTAAGAGAGATGGGTGTGCACCTCCCCACAAAAGGCACTGTGAGGAAGTAGGGGTGAAAACAATAGCGATAATGAGAAATCAAAAATAATGCGACTTTTGGAATTATCGAGAAAACCCCTGACGCCGACAGACCCACCCCAGTTTGTTGCGGCGTCAATAAAAGCAGGACCCCAGTCGACAGAAATCAGTTGAGTTGGAGTGGAGTTGCAGCTGGACCGCGGGCAGGGAAAGAGCCTGAACGCGGGCATCGGGCCCGATTCACTCGCCCCTTTGCGGGCAAAAGAATCCTCAGACAAGAAATCCTTCCAGCCCAAGTCGAAGACATGAGTTCAGCCCCGGACGGCAGCGAGAAGAGATCACCTCGGACGACAGAGAGTTGCGGCTGAGTTGCGGCAAGAGATTCTTCCAGCCCAAGTCGAAGACAAGAGAACTTCCAGCCCAAGTCGAAGACAAGAGAACTTCCAGCCTAAAGCGACGAAGAAGAAGAAATACAACTCAAGTCGAAGAGAAGAATCAACTGCGAATGATCGATAGAAATTAGCCCCAGTGTCGAACCAAACCACACTCCGACATACACAATTCTAAAGAGTAGGCAATTCGAAATCTTTAGGTTGTGTGATAGAAACTTTGTGCCATAGTCCACAGAGCGGGTTGGGAAATGAGAACAATTTTGTTTTTATGTAACGGACATTAAGATATAAAGGTTGTTACCCATTTTTTTTCATCAGCAATCTTTTTTGTCTCGTGAGTTTATTTTCTCTTTTATTTGTGTTTTGCCACCCCGTCGGACTCAACTTGTATCGGCCCCCAATCCCTGCTGGTCCCGTCTGTCTAAGATCTAAACACAGCGTGGGTAGACAGACCGGAGATCAGTACAGTTGCTTTAGTGACCAGGTATTGGAAGCGAGTCGGGAAAGGCGAGGCTGGTGATCATCTGACCAAGGGGTTGGAGCGGCACGCTTGGACCCAGGAGGAGCGACCAGGAGGAGCGACGTCACCGTTGGCGCCGTAACCAAAGGATCCGACCCTGGGCCAGGGTGTGTAACCGTCACATTTCTCTTGTTTCTCTTTTCTCTATTCGACCCGTAAGTATCAGATTCTCCAAACCCTCTTTTCTCATTAAGTGTCCCAGAAATTTCAGCTGACTCTTCCTGATTTTAAGTGTAAGCTTCCTCCTTGTTTGCATCCTCTCAAAACCTCATTGTTGCTCACACGCTCGGTCCATGATATCCTTAGCATCCTTCTGTAGAACCATACCTCCGTCGGCTCGAGTCTCTTCTTCATCTTTGAGGAGACCGTCCAAAATTCACTGACGTAAAGGAGGACAGATATAACGTAGCAGTTCAGTCCTCTTTGTTACTAACAAAATCCTTCTATCTCGTAATACTCTGTCTCGCTTTTTGGAATGCGTCTTTGACCATCCCAATATGTCTTTGGATCTCAGCGTCGCACTTACCGTTTCTCTGTCAGAACACTTCCCAGATATTTAAATTTCCGCACCTGTTTGATCTATTGTCCCCGACCTGTAAATCTCATTTCGGGCTCATCCTTTTACTGATGACAATGCATTCTGTCTTCTTGTAGTTTATGCTTAGTCCCTTATTCTCGCTCTCCTTCGCTACCTTCTGTAGGAGGTTTTGTAATTTATTTTCCGTATCTGCTATCAGAATTGTGTCATCTGCATATCTTACGTTGTTAAGATTATGGTCGCCAATGATGAATCCTGGTAGGATTTCCAATTCTCTCAGAATGGCCTTTTTGTATAGGCTAAATAATCCGGTGATGCATTACGCCCCTTTCTATTTTTGTATATCTGCTGAACACATTCTCTATCTGCATTCAGGTCGTTTGTTGCCAGTACAGGTTCTTGATTATTCTAATATCTTTCCCAAATATATCAAGGTTGCTGAGCAGTTCCAATAGATCTTTGTGGCGTACTTTGGCGAAGGTCTTTGTGTAGTCTATGAAATACGTCCTTCTGCATGTGTATCGCTCTTTCTGATAACATTTTGAGCATGAATATCGCGTTCCTTCTTCCGATAACGAACTCACGCTGTTCTTGTCCTATCTCTGGCCTGATTCTTCTGCATGCTTTATTCATCAGAATATGAATAGTGAATTTTGTTATGTGGCTCGTTAGGCTGATTGTTCTATGGAGTTCACATTCGTTTGCGCCTGGTTTCTCAGGCATTGCTATGAAGATAGATCTGCTGAGATCTTCCGGCATATCCCCACTGCTGTAGATTTCATTTATTATTTCTGTGATCTTGTCTACCCCCAATTCATTTAAGGCTGTCAGCATTTCTGTTACAATTCCGCCTGACCCTGCCGCCTTGTTTCTATCGAATTTCGCCAGTGCAGATTCTACAGGTTTTTAGAATTTTAGTCGGTAGTTCTGTGTATTGCTGGTTGTTCTCTTTCGTCGTGGAGTTCTCTAATATATTCGCTCCAGCGCTGAAGAATTTTTTCCTTCTATAATATGAGCGTTTGACGGGCACGTCTCCTTACTTATATCTCTCTTATTTATTTATATTTCCTTTGTTGATGGTACTCACTCTCTCTGTTTCAGCATACTTTTTGCTTAGCTGCTCTTTTTTTTATAGCTTGCCTGCATTTGGTCCTTATTTCATTGTGTAATTTTCTGTATTTCGTTCCGTATCTTGGCAGTGTTTTCATCATGTCGAGATTCTCATCAGTCATCCATTCGTTTTTTTCATTTTTTCTTCTTCGTCCATTCTCCTTTGTGATGATATCGTTTGCTGATATCACTAAAGCGTTTCTTAGTACGCCTCATTTCGAATTTCCATTGTGTCCCTCGTATCATCTTTTCACCTTGTCCATATATTTTTCTTTCAGGTATGGGGTGCTCAGGAGTTTGTCTTTCAGTTTGAGTGCTGCGTTAGGCTTCTTCAGTTTTCATACTTTCATTCTTAGTTTACATTTAACAGGGCGATGATCACTTCCGCAGTTTTGGAGTGAACCATTTCATTCCCGAATCTTTTGTTAATAGTTATGTAGTCAGTTGAGTTTTTCCTGATGGGCTCCTCTATGTCCATAATCGTCTTGGATATTCTTGGAACCATGTGTTGGCTATTACCTGGTCACTGGCTGTGCACCATTGGATACATTTTTCTCCAAGTTCGTTGCGGGTTCCTAGTCCGAATTTTCCGGCTATATCTCTGCCATCTCACTGCCTACTTTGGCGTTTTTGGTCTCCCATAATAACTATGACTTCTTGCAATTTTCAAAGAGCCTTGGCATTGTATAGCATGGAGTA